ACTGGGGCTGCGTGGCCTATATGCCTGGTGAGCGGCTGTGGAGCTAGAGATCATGGCTGTGCGGCGAATGTCAGGTTGCTTCGCGACATTGCCCAGTCTCAGGGGTCTGGGCGGTCGTTTGACTGGGGCTGCTGATTTGCCAACAACGGCGGAGGCAGAGGTGCCCATGGGCCGTTGCTGCTGAGAAATTAAGGATGATGATGCTGGTGCATGTGGAGCGTGTGGTGAACGAATGGACTTTGGCGAAGGTTGCTCGTCCTCTTCTTCATTTGCCGGGTGTTCCGCACGCTGTCCACGCTCTTCGAGTAGGTTATCGTCCAATATCGACGGGGAGGGCTTGGTAACCAGCTTCCCGGATTGCAGCGTGTAAGATGCCAACGGGCGATTAAAAAGCTCCTCATCGCTAAACATATCATCCGGTGGCTCGGGCCATTCATCATCGTCACTAACATTTTCAAATCCGGCAAATAAACTACTACTCCGAAACGGTCGCCGGATGTCCGGCTTCACGTCTACATCTTCAGAGAGAGGACCGTTGTCGTTGTTTCCGGGATATGCTTGGAATTTCCCCTGCTCTTTGCTGGTGGTGGAGGGTGTCCTAGCGGGTTCTAGAGGATCAACTGGCGGTGGATTGCGGAGTCTTCGTTTTGCGGATTTAGGGGGCGGGACGCGGAATGACCGGATCGGGGGTGGTGATGGTAGCTTCGTGGAATCTGAGCTGGTTGGATGTGGTTGTGGATGTGGACGGTCCATAATGGCAGACGGGAGGAGCTTTGCGGGAAGCTTCACAGCTCGTTGGTCGATGCGGATCTCTTCGGTTTGCATGCCGCACGACCTCAGTTCAACAAGTGATTGGATATTGGTTTGGCATGATATGCTCTTTGTTTGTGGGGGTAAGACGACACTGTTCCTTGCGGAGGGTGGGTTTGAACCCGGGGGTTCAATTGTGATCATGGGGATTGCGGGCATCTCCTTGCGAACGGTTTCTTTTAGTTGTTGGTATTCCTCGTCCGTGATTATTACATCGTCCGTTTGAGTTGAGATGGAAGCTGTTGCGACTACAGTAGTTGGAAGCGGGGGATCTAAAGAGGCCGTGAGTACTGGTGTGGGAGTGGGCGTGGGCGTGGAGTCTTCTGGAGTAGTCTCCCCCATCTCTGGGGTCCCTAGAGGGCTGTGAATCTCTGCTGTTGTTTGACACGAGGAGGATATGGTGAGAGCAGTCATGGTTACTGTACTGCTGTCTTTCGATTGGTAAATAGGCGTTTCCTTGTTCGAACACACGCGCTTTCTCCCCTGATTTTCATCATTTTTGCAACTAGCGGTTGGTGGGTCCTCAACAATAATAGGCTCGACGGGAATAATCGAGTCATCGGGATCAGAAGCGATCATTTTGGGAGAAGGAGGTGGAGTATATTGGATCCCTACATCTCTGTATTCGAATAATGGTGCAGCAATGGTCGTTTTCTCATCGTCCTCAATGTCACGAATCACATCCAGATTCTTTGGAAGTTCGAGTACGTCGGGGGTGCCAAATCTTTCCGACCCATCAACCGACATGTCCAAAGTACGTCGGGCAACCATGCTCATGCGTCGTGACTGCATTGACATAGCCCTTTCGTCCGAAACCGTACATCTTGAATCAGGCCTGTCATCCAAACCCAATGTATCCTCCTCTTCCTCGTCAAAGGCAAGTTCATCCGCCAGATTTAGCCCATCAGTCTTATTCGATCCATAGCCATTGGCCATGCTCATAACCGAATATCGAAGATTATGCGGATCACCGTCATGAGTACTAACGCTGGCCGTGCTCGTCCGACGGCATCCCAAGACACTATTTGAGCGAATGCTGTTGGTATCACTACCCCTAGTCGTCATGCCATCGCGAATGGCATCATCAAAGTCACCACCAGCACCCAGAGGCCAGGGGTAGGACCCAGCCGCCTGCGCCGCCGCAACCTCATTAATAACAACCTTCAATCTCCCCTCTACAACATGAACCTTCCTCTCCCAACTCCTCCTCTCCTTTTCCCAATTCATCTTATCTCGCTCCCACAGCGTCTGCGCCCTCTCTAGCTCCTCCTCCTGCGTCCTCACCCTCTTCTGTGACTGCTCAAGCCTCTTCCGAAAATCCGCAATGTTCTCCAATGCCTCATCGCGCTCCTTGGACAATTCAGCCATGGCGGACACAGACCCACCTTCCAGCACCTGCATCTGCCGCTTCAACGAGAGGCTTTCCTTGGCGCTTTTGGCCAGCGTTTCGTTGAGGGAGTCTGCTTCCGCCTTTGCGGTTTCGAGGGTGATCTCCAGCGTATCGATGGCACGGGTTTTCGCCTCCATGTCGCGGCGGAGGGACAGGATTTCAGACACGAGAGATGCATGGAGCGTTGGTGTGAAACGGCGTGGGTCTAGGGGGGATATGGTCTCGTCGTTTGCGGCGTCAACTGGGCTGGAAGGGCCATCTGTTTCATAGCGGTTGGAGGAGGAGAACCGTGTGGGAGACGAGGAGGGGCCGGGGGAGGAATCCCGCCGGTGAAGGGAGGGCCGGCGTGACATGGGACTTGAAGAGTTTCTGTAAGGGGTGTCATTCGGGGTGGGGAGGGACTTTGCGAGGTATGCATAATCCGCCTCATAGTCGGAGGCCATGGTGCGTGTTTTGTGTGCTTGGTTATGGCTGGGAAATTTTATTTGCTCTTCTGGTTTAATTGACGGCGTTATGCATGACTGGCTTGGTGTCGCGATATGTCAGGATAAGAGAATTCTGTCCGCGATTCGTTGTGGAGCAGATGTGAGGAGAGAGAGATCAATGAAAAGAAAAGGAATCGAAATTGAGATGAAAATGAGAGGGTTGACTTGTTGCGTTGTGTGGTTTAGAATTGAATGGAGTAGATTAAGGGGGATTTCTTCAATCAGGGGTCAATTTGGAACTCTTTGGTGGGCATCTATGTATATATGGTTGTATAGAGGGAGGTAGTCCCCTCGTTTTGTATAGCATATATTTGCAGCAAGGGCAAGTCTTATATAAGACAAAACGAAGGGGGGTTACCCTGTTGCATGGTTCAATTGAGATGACAATTTTACCAATAAATTTATTTTAATTATCGTTCGTTCGTTCGTCGTGTTGTATATGTTCGCAAAAGGGGCACTCTCAATTCTTCGGTGAGTATGAGGGTAAAAATTTCAGCCTATATCTTAACAAGGAGACGGGATTAGTTCTAAACTGTCAAATCATATAGCATAGCATAGCATAGCATAGCATAGCATATCTGAGAAAAGAAAGACTTGTACGTGAAATGGTTCTGGGTTG